CAATTTTTTTAAGAGTAGATTCTATAATTTAAAATAAGTTCAAAGACATGAATCCTATGATAGCAAAGGAATTATTCTAATACGAGAGATTTTGAAATAGAATTTTAACAATAGCTTTAACAAACAATTCCATTTATTTTTTAAATAAAAGAGAATAGTTCCATTTTTCTCGCCGATTATACACCGAACCACTCTCGGTTCGCAGAGACACAGAGCTTAAATATTTATTTAATATTTTGGCAGAGCATTTGGCCGCACATACAAATTTGCCATCGTTTTCATTATGGCGACGGCGCTCGGCATATTTAATTATACAAAACAATACAACAAATGTGCGAATCATGCGAGATATATACATATATAAATATATAGAGAGAAACAAAACATGCACACATATGTATGTATGTAGTTTGCCAACTTGCTTGTCTATTCGTACATTTCCATTACTATCTCGCCATTTTGTTGAGTTATAAATGCTGCATCCATCTTGATAGTATGGCTGGGAGCCTATTTGTTTACCCCAGCAGCGGCATTGTATTTAATTTATTTAACATTCGCTGTCCATTGGGAATTAATTGCGAAACGTTCAACTAGTGTTGAAAGCAGAAAAGAAATTCTATGCTTACAGCATTCTCTATGACTGCTTTTAGTTGCACATACGCCCCATTGTGCTCAATACTACTGCTGCTGCTATCATTCGCACTGCTTGGCGCACTGCTCGCTCAACACTCTCTTCCGCTCTCCGGCGCTCTTTTTTCTAACACGCGGCGATCGTCAGCTCGTACATATTGCGTTGTATTTCGTATTTTTTTTTGTTCAGTCAGTACGGCTCGCGCATCGATTGAAAAACATTCGCCACGCGCGTTTCTCTCAACGTCTTTTTGTTACGCACTGTAAACTTACACACACACACACACACACACACACATGTACACGGGCCGCACCACAAATACATAAATATCTCAACAACAAAAATTTAAATACATCGTACATGTATCTGTGTGCTTTTGTTGTTGTTGTTAAATTATTTTCGTGCTGTTTGTTCTTGTAAAAGAATTAAACATATATGTAAATACACATACATACGTATGTACATACGTGTTAGTGCATATGTGCGCCCAATAAATATTGTCAGCTATGTTTCAGCATAGATTCAGTGCTTAGTGGTTGTAGTTCTTGTTGTTTTTCCTGCTAATCTATGGAGTAGCAGCAGCAGCAACAACAACAACGAAAACGAAATTACAAAATGGTGAGTTCTCGATCTCTCTCATTTTCGTGTGTGGACCTTCTGGACTCTACGCTCGCCCCACTGATAAACTCATTGGCCCTTACACACACACACATACACATGCATGCGCAATATCTCATTGTCATCAATGTCATTTCGTCATTGCATCAATTTGTTTCCGCTCCAGTGAGTGTCAATAATTGATATGTATGTATGTAAGACTGGCTCGGCTTGGCTCCCTTATATTCTCGTTTCTGGGGCTGGTTCTTCAGGCTTTTCTTAAATACTTTGCACGCGCTTTAATCGATTGCTTAATTTAGTTCGTTAGTCGCTAGTCGTCCGAGTTGCTTAGTGCGCCTTGTCTTTGTGCCTTTATCTTATCATCTGTCGGGCAGCCACTAAAGTTTTTATATTCGTTCTGGTTCTTGTTGTTCTAGTTGTTGTTCAAGAAAGCACAATCAAGTAAACAACAACAGTCTAGTCCCACACACATTTGTCTAAAAAATATAGCATTTGTATATAATTTATGATGTGCCAAATATTTTCAACGATATTCGCAATCGCACACAATTCTGCTTGGTTTGGATTAGAGATTAGCTTTTTTCATGAACTGAAATCATATTTCAATAACAAAAATGTGCGAAAAATTACATTAAATTTCATATACACACATATATATGTATGTATATATGTACATAGGTATGCTGCTACGCATTTAAAATTGTTTTTTTTAGCATTCAGGTATTCTAAGAAAGTCTCTTAAAGTTAAGATAAAAGAAAAGCTCTATTAATGCCTATATATTCGGAATTTATCTTTATTGTTAATTATACGAGTATGTATAAGGCTGCTGACAAATTAGCGGATTCTAGAAATAAACAATAAAAGTTGTGTTCAGAAATATAAATCCAATTTATAAATATATCCTGACACACTTATTTGAATACATTTGAATACATTTTTGACTGTAACCACATTACAAATTTCTATTCAAGTCTAGGAAAAATTGTTCCTATTTTTAAAGCTAACGTCGTAGAATAAATACTATACACATTTTAAATATAAATAAATATATTTAATAAGTTTAAACTACTTAGATAACTTTTGAACCGATTCTTTTTACGGACGCTGTATAATATAGTCTTTAATTTTTAAACAATATTGCAAAGCAATACTGTATATGGTTTGAAAAAACTCAACATGTTTTTCCCTACCAAAAACTGATTTTCGACATAATCGTTACAGACTTGTTTTTATTTCCGAATTCGATCGCAATTATCTCCCAGTTGACGACTGAATTCTCATTTGCACTCGATATTGTAAAGAGAAAAAAAGCTAATGGTCAAGGAATAGTTTCTGAATAATTTGTTCCACTGATTTCGCTCAGGACTTAACTTGCATAGAATATATATAAAAGGCCTTAACTAATCAGAGTAGCTTGTTCTTATGGCCGCTTAAGAACAGAATTGTTAAACAATTCATCAAGCAACGAAATACTGTTACAGTGTTTATAATTGGGATCTCCTAAGAAGGGAGCTTGTTTATTATTTACGAAGCAATCGATAATATGAAATTGCAAACCTATTTCCATTTCAAAATGCGATGGTTATCTACCAAACTATGTCTTAATTTTCTCTTAAACTTTGATACTGAAAATTGAAAACCATAGAGTGGCGGCTTATTGAATTTAGATGTTATCCCGTTTTATTGCGTATTAAAAATTCTTCATAGAACTTCTATTCAACTACGATGTAGATTTATCAGTCATTAGTCTAAAGACAGCTGAGTTCTAAGTAACCGAAATAATTCCTAGAAATCGAATAGCCAACAAATAACCAAAAGTATAAAATGAAAACAAACACTTGTGTATTTTGAACCTAAAACGTGACAAATATGAATGAATCTGTCATGTGCTGCTGTGTGTATATTTTGAAATTCGGGCGAATGTCGGCTATCAGAGGCCCTTAAGATAATGACAATTTCCTCTATATCTTAAATAGCAGGCGATAAACATAGCGGATATGCATTAAAATTAAAAATGCTTAAATGAGTGCCGTAATGTTTGTATTCTCGTTTTGTTTATTTCGCTATTGTAGATTAATTGCAGATATAGGCAATTAAAAGTCGCATGCCGGTCCGGTCATCAACAATAATAATAATAATCCTCATCCCCCCTAACATCCCCTTTCAATTCGCATTCGGTAACATTGGCCATAGAAAAATTGAATTTCAGGCACGTCTCATGCATTTTAATTGAACAATATAGAACGACAGTTCAATGGATTTAGCTGACTGACCAGAAGCATACGAGTATATATGTACATGTACATGTATGTGTGTATGTGTGCTTTAATATGGGTGTACCCACAATAGACTGTCAAGTGTTGGCAGGCATTTTTATCGATGTATTTGTGGATGGGTGTGCATGACTCTGTTCTGTTTTGATTGATGGCTAGTCTAGAATGGCACAACGCTAAGCCATAACCAACGTTTTCTCATTATTCTCAGCCCTTTTCGCCATGCGCTAAGCTTTTAAGAGAACACCAAGCACACGTCCCAAGCCCATCATCAGTACATCAGACTTGCATTAGGGGGCCTCCAAATTAATCTGATTAGCGATGGAAATACTAAAAAAAATATAAATTTGACAATAGACTCTTCTGTCCATGTTGTTCTTTAAAATATCCCTGTTACCTATCTGACAATATATTTATAACAACATGTTTCTCCACTAAGAGTTAGATTTTGTATGGGTTTTACATAAAATAAAATGGTATGATATCTATTTAACTTGATCTGCATAGGAGAGACTAGTGCAAGCAGTTGTATGAATGCCAAGTCGCATCAGTTCATAAAGGGAATACATATCCTTTCGATCATACTACTACATAGTTTAATTTATTCATGTATTCTTTGAAAATTAAAAAATGTATATATGATTACACGACATTATTCCATTTAGCACGATTTAAAATAATATATGATCAATGTATTTTGTTACACGTTTTTTTTTATCTCGACTTTTTCTGGAATCAATCTACCGTGTAAAAACAGAATTAGCTGTACATTTTTAATCATTTTACTTTTATTATTAACAAGGCATAAATTTCAAAGTAGTTTTAAATTAAAAGACGGACGGCGGTATTTATTTAATTTAACATTTATGATGTTTGTTTTCGGCACTTGCAGAGTATTCTTGAAATATTTTGTACACAGTTTTTTAAACGTTCACAAGTATGCCATGAAATTGAACACAAATACTAAAAAAAGAAAAATAAAACTTTTAATTCTCTTCTGCACTCCATTTCAATGGCGTAGAGTGTCAGAAATAATTCCAGCACACTAATTGTAAATTCCAAAAGGGTCAAACATTTCATGATTTCAGTAAACATGAACAGCCCTAATGGTGCTTTGTGCTGTGCTTTGTTTGCTCCTTTTTGGATGAGCTATACAAATATTTGCATTTGCTTTTAGCGACGCACAACCTCTAAATGTTTATTCAAAGAGAGGTTGGCAAGTGTGCTTAGACGTCGCAACTCCGGCCGCCTCCCTTTCCAACAAATACCATTTCAAACGACTTATTTATTGACTTATCGATTTGCAACCTTGATGTTTTCTTAATTAAGTTGTCAATGCTCTGTTGTCGTCGGCATGCAAACTAACTAACCAACTAGCTGAGCATTAACAAAATCAAGACACTTATAAATAAATAAAACTAATCGAACTCTCTCTACCGCACTCGCTTTGTGTGTGCATGTCTTATTCTATTTTCAGTCGATTTAATATAGAATGCTACCCAGTTTTCGTAACTTAATGCGTTGCTCGACGAGCGTTTTGCAAGCCGCCGGTGGCACCACCGCCATAAAGATGCGGAACGGCCACAGCAAGGCCACAGCACCCTTTGGCCCCTTCCCGCCCGATGATGAGCTCGCCTGCTCGGGTCGGGGGGACTGCCTCAATGGTACCTGTCTCTGCGAGATCCGCTATGCAGGCGACGAGTGCAGTGGCTTCAATATTCCCTACTATGCCGGCATCTCCAGCGTCTTCTACCTGGTTGCACTCGTCTCGGTCATTCAGCTGTTCATCTGTATTGTCGCCGAGTACCAGCGCCTGAAGCAGCCCTCGGTGCTACGTGCCTGTCGCATCACAACCCAGAAGCTGCTCTACTTCATGGTCTTTGTAGCGGCTTCTCTACGCGGCGCCTACTTCACCACACCGGTAAGTCATTAAAATGTGTATACTACTTGACCTAAAGGAGGGGGAATCAAAAAAATATAAGCTCTTCTTGCCTGGATATTAGCAGAGTCTACATACCAAGTTTGGTGAATGTGGGCTCAGTCGTCTCCGAAATCTAGGCGTTCATCCAGATAGACGGGCACGGCTCCATCGATTCGTCTTGTCATGCTTATTAAGAATATACATACTTTATGGGATCGGAGATGCCCTACGAGTACAAGGTATAACAAGAGAGAACGCTACAGTCGAGCAAGCCCGACAGTGTAATACCCTGTACCCAGGTAAACTTCCGTCACTGAGTTATATGCGCCCATAGCAGCAGCAAAAAGAGGAAGAAGAAGAGCGAACTTGTTGCTGCAGTTTGTGGGGGTTGTACTAGCGAGAATTTGTTTCGCTAATAACTTTTCTTAGAATTGACCGAATTGAATAAAATTTTGAACAGTAGACAATTATATATATATTATATAGGAGAATCTGGATGCCAACTTTGGTTATTCTAGCTTTTATAGTTTCTGAGATCCTCGCGTTCATCCAGACGGACAGACGGACGGACATGTCTAGATCGATTTCTCTCGTCATGCTGATCAAGAATATATATACTTTATGGGGTCGGAGATGCTTCCTTCTGTATGTTACATACTTTGCACAAACCTAATATACCCTTTTTACCCTACGGGTACAGGGTATAACAAGTATTGAATAGTAAGTGGAGCGAGCGTCAAGCAACATTTATAGACTACTATTTAGTTCTAAAAGGAATTTTTCTAAAATATTTTCCTACCGAAGTACGTGCCTAATTGGTAGAAACTTGTAGTTACCGGCACAGATTATATTGATAGAAATGATGAAAAAGGAAATCCATATCAAAGGTTTGTTAAGATTTCATTGAATCTTATCTGTAATTAATGAGTATAACTAGAACTATCCAAATAGCTTTAAATAATTATCTCAACAATTTGCAAGAAATGTATTTCTAAAGAGTTTGTAAGTCTCGGTAGGGAAGTTGCTGGTGACAAGGCTCTTCAATTACTACTATTTCAATCAATTCTCTGAATCAATAACGTCGAATTTGTAGAACTCAAAACATGTTTTTTTTTTACCAATAATAATTAGTTTGTATAGCCATAAATTGATTGGTAGTTCAAAATTCCTACCTATCTACCCTGTACCCAAAGGGTACACTAGCTTTGTGCGATTTGCAAACCCCTAAAGTATTGTAATGCAAATTGGTAGTGCATTGTTCAAATCGCGAGCTTACCGCACAATTATCGATTTGTGCTTATCGATTCGCTCACTTGCGCCCATGTGTAATTTAAATCCTTAAGTATTTGGGCCATCTGCTTGTTTTGATCGCCATTGAAGGCTAATAAAGTGAACTAAAGTAAAGCTGAGTTGAATGGCGCAATTATTTTGTTTGCCGCTGCTGTTAATTCTTTCGACGAGTCGATCTAGCCCTGTTTATCCGTCTGTCCGTCCGTATGAACGCTTGGATCTCAGAGACTATGAAAGATAAAAACACAAAATGCCATGTGTGTGTACGCTATACGATTATGTTTTATTTTTTTGTTTCCCCCCACTTCCCCCTATGGGGGTTTTCCTGATTTTCCATTCGTATATAAAAAGATTGGAATGCAAAAGTCGACCCAAACCAACATTAAATTCCCTACCCCAACTTAAAAAAAAATTTTAATATAATAATAAAAATTCAAAAAAAAAAGTAATAATATACAGAAATTTTTAATGTAAATTATTCAATTGAAAATAATAAAATAAATATAACACGTAAAAAGATTTTTGTACGTTTTAATAACATACGATTACAACGGAATTGCGTTTACTGGATAATCTAAATACCAAGTTTATATATATTCTTTTGTATACAAATTGTGAATTATTGATTGATATTGGGCATTGATTTATTAGCTATTGAAGAGCCTTAACTACGAGTTAGATTCCTTCCAATTCTTAAAAAGTATTTAAAAATACACAACCCGAAAATTATTGAGATACCTAATCTTATTTGAAACTAGTTGGTTTATTCTCAGTTTATTTGAAAACTAAATATTATTGAGATGAAAAAATTAAACCGTCCAGTGAACGAATTTGTGACTCAAAGTTCAAATGGGAGCTAATTGTTAAATCATTAATAATAATGATTAAGACTCTAGACTTTTAAGCATATTATATGCGTAGTTAATCGATATTTTCGTTGGTAATTGAAAGATCACCGCACAAATGATGGTGCCAGAATAGTCAAACGTTGGTAAAAATGATAAGAGATTACATAATTGGAAGTCCACTCACCAAAATTAAAACACAACCCACTTTTCTTACAGTTGGAACAACAACCTCAATGGGCTGTCACCCTGATGTCGGCCTATTATCCCCTGCTGATGACCTGCGCCTCCCTCATCGTCTGTTTGTGGGCCGAGGTAAGTACAACTGCACTGAACATGACCGATGACCGACTGCTACACTATATATACACTACTATACTCGATATACTACTTTCGTCGGTTTTGTGAGCGTCGTCATTTAATTTTTTGTTGTTGTTTTATTTCCATTATCTGACATTGTGAACTGAGTGCAGATGCACTCACCATTTACACATGCCTTCTTGTTGGTTTTTCGCAATCATATCGCGCTTGCGATATGAACGTGCGGACGCGGACGCGGACGGGGACTAGGAATGGCTGGCTTGCTGGCAAAATTGAATATATTGTGGCTCCCATTAATTAAACTTAGGCCGACCGTTCAACGTTGCGTATACACGAGTACAATATCAGTGGCATTAAAAATTACAAATATTTTCAGATCTTTCATTTGCGCGACATACGCTGGGAAAAGTCCCAATTCCTGTCGAAGAGCTTCCTGGGCTTTGTGGCCTTCAATTTCTTCCTGTACAGTCTGTTTGGCATCGAGGTCTTCAATTCGCTGATCAACGTCGATCGTCGCGCCTATGCTCATATCTTTAATGGCTGCTATGCAGTTTTATTGCTCATCGTAGTGATCTTCTTTCTCATCTATGGTGTGGAGGTTTTCTTCAAACTCCGCGGCGGCTTCGTCTACGATCAGACGGGAAAAATACTGGGACCCAGCGAGGCCATTGTAAATGCCTCCCAGCTGCATCAGTCGCGCTTTGGTCTGCTCAGTCAGGCCATAATGCTCATTGTTATTGTGGGCTTCCTGGCCTCCGAAACTTTGGGTGACTTCTGGAAGACAAAGTAAGTGTGGAATCTATGGAACCTCCCTTCAATATATGTTAAAACATTTTGTTGCATCTTTTTAGAGTGCCCGTCTATTCTCGGAACTGGCATGATATTGTCTTTCGGATTGCGGAAATTGGTGTTGCTGTGTGGTTCCCCTGCTGCCTCTGGAACTCGATGGCTCCCGAACAGCTCTGGATACTTAATCCGCGGAAACTGCTTTCGCGTCAAATCGATCCCTCGATACCCACGATGAATGCGGATGCCAGCAAACTGTCACCCGAAGAAGGTCAATCGTTTCTCACCAAGAAAGACTGTTGGATATGCTATGACAGCGATAAACCGGAGCCGCTCATTCAGCCCTGTCGCTGCACGGGTGATGTCAGCTCCGTGCACCACAAGTGTCTCAAGCGCTGGCTTGTAGAGAGCTGCAGCAACTCGGAGGCACAGCTCTCGTGCAAGGTGTGCGGCCATCCATACGAAATTGAGAAATCCAAAAAGTAAGTTCAAATGAGAGTTTAACGAGAAATGCAAAACGAATCCCAACATGAAAAAATGACTGAAACGCACAAATGTGTATTTATCCAAGCATCTATCAAGAATCTTTAAACATTCATTAGTTTCGTTATTCAATAAGTAATGCCTGCAATAGTAGAGAATTAAAAAAACACAATTGGGACTCACGCACAGCTCTAATATGAATTGAAAGCCATTTAAAATTCAACCAACTAACGATGAACTTTGTTTTCTAACCCTTTTTATGGCAGACTCGAGTGGGATAAAGGTTTCACTGTTCAACACTGGTCCAAAACATTCATATTAATTACACTGATGGTTGTGACGGGCGCCGCCGCCTGGGTGGTTATACAGATGAACACAGATCCGTTAGTGCGAGTGATGACTGTCGGCATAGCCGTGCTGATCGCCTATGTGTGCGTCAAGTGTCTGGGGGAGAACACGGTGGTGGCCTATCAGCGGGCCAAGGTCAGCTCGATTAACATTGTGACGACCAGCACGGAGATGGAGAAACTGCACACCATTTGCGAGGATGTGAGCGCCAGCACCTCAGCGTCGGCAGTGCTCAACACATAGGCGGCTGTTCAAATCGGCGCATCGTCATCATTATCAGCATCATGATAATATGTATCATTAATTTATGCCATAAGGAACACACACTCCCATCAACCAGACATCACACTTATGTATAATTAGTTGTGCACACATTTTGCAATGCTCAATTAGTTTGTTAGCGTTTATCCCGATTCTTCCCCAACAACAACATATGTTAGTGAGCAATGTGTACATAGATTTTAAAGATTCTTAGCTGGTAAGCGAGTTAAGCGATGAAGCTGTTCAGCTTTTGCAAACGGTTCGATTAACGAGTCAATTTTTGTCTCTCAATTTAGCACGCATATTTCTAAATCTATGCGCGAAATGTATTAAAAGAAGCCAAATATTTCATAGTTTAAAAAACATGTTTGAAACTTAAGTCAGTATCGATAACAACAACAACAAAACAAACATCCACACACACACACACACACACTATTGAGATTATGAACGAGTTGCCAAGTAGTCCCATTTTACGGCCCATTTTACGGGGTGGCGGGAATTTCGGTCAGTTTAGCTGCCCGTCCTAGGCGTTAGTAGTTTGTAGTCACACAGCTTTTTGCTATTCTATTATTGTTACGATTATTATTATTACAGCACACTATTAAAGTCTACATAAATATGTACTTCTTTTTCAATTTACCGAATATTAATTCTAAGTTGATATATTTGTGTTAAATATAGTATGTTTTGTGTGTTGATGATTACGCGTAGAGCATAAGTAATTTGAAAATACATTTAACAATTTAATTTATTATACCATACCACATACATTTCAAAACTGCTTCGATTATAAGTTACTCAAATTTAATTTGCTACCACATAGGCTACCATAAATTTTTGTGATACACAAATTAAGATAATTAAAAACAAATTTTTAAAATCAATTGTGTGCCAAGAAGCGTTTTCTTTCTTTCAAACAATTGCTTGCTGAGATCGTAAGAAACCTAGGGGCGACAGCAGAACTTCAATTCCACAAAAATAATGTCCAATAAAATCACCTTGCTCTGATGCCTACTATATTGATCTATTGAAGCTGGTAATAATTCTATTGTTTTTAGTATACCTAATTCTACTTTTACACGGTTTTGATTTAACACGGTTAGAAAATTAAAAATTTTATATATGGTTACACGACTTAATTCGATTTAGCACGATTCAAAATAACACAAAATAAATAAATAAAAGCACACGCAGCTTACAAACAGCTAGAAACCATTCTTATATGGGTCGCTATGCACATTATATATGATTTAATAAAATTAACACAAATCCTTTTTTTTCACTGATCACCTATTTTTGCATATTATCAATATTTTTTTACACGATTTTTCTGGAACCAATCTATAGAATTAGGTGTACTTCATATAATACTTTACATATATGTCACATATTCTAAGACAGATTTAGTCATATAATTAATCCCTGAAATACCGACCATAACGCTCCTTTAAGAAGACTTACATAGTCGTATGTGCTGGAAGTGGATTAAGTGCAGTTTGCTTGAAAAATAAATCAATTTCACATTTTGGACCACTTCCTATTGTAGAAAATGGAAATTATCCTACTATATGAAGGAATATACGCTCACCCACAAGAACTGGAATTTATGTATAATTCAACAAATCCAACAATTTGTGAAATTTTCACAAGCTTTTTTGCCAAATCGATTTTGATAGATTTGGGCGGATTCGGAACAGTTCTATGATTTTGCTTATGCGAATTGGACTCCAGAGAATAACAAAAACTGCTAGAAACCAGTTATGCTCGTGGAGCATAATGTAGAGCCCGTACAAGAACTTTCTTATTGAAGAAAAAACTCATAAATTATTCATCTAGAATATTTCTACAACTTTTCAAAAACAGTTAAAAGTTACCTCTTACATTACTCAATGAGACATTAATATAGTATTACTATTTATGCAAGGGAATGAACGGAATTAAAATTGTGAAATTGTGAATTTGGTTTCGTTTCATCAAAACTAAGATAAAAGCTCATAAGCTTATCTAATAGTAAGGGTTAATCGATTAAAAAGGGTTTAAACATTGTTTCATAAACATCCTATATTATTTTTTGATGCTCTTCATTATTATCTTTTGTGCACAGTCACGTGAATTTATAGATTTAGCCGTTTGAAACCGTCCAGTAATGGGATATGGGTCCATTTTTGACACAAGGAAGAAAGTCCTTTTACTCTGTAAAAATGTATACTGCAGCGCCAATATTTAAATGAAAACAAGAAAGAAATGCTGGAGTCAAGTGGACTCAACTCCTAAATACCACTTCCACAAAAAATATAATAACAATTAATCTAAGAAAAATTTAATTAATTAAATAAAACTAGTTGAAAGGTTCAAGTCCTGACTTTGAAATACTCTGTACCTATGCGTAGAATAATTTTACAAATTTAATAAAATGAACAGAATTAACAAAAAACGCAATTCTTCGGAATTCGAACTCACGTTAAGGGTGTACACAGTAGAGCCAAAGCAACATCAAAAACAGCTGCTGGCAGAGATTACATACATATATGGATACAAGTATAACTTAATTTAATATCGGCCTACCACGATATCAAACTTGACACAAGGACACATAAGCAATTGTCAAATTTAATTGCAATATTCTGAGAGTAATCGATGTTATAGTGCTGCTAGCACTTATAATCTGTGAGATCTAGGTATATCTAGATTTGGTAAATTTTTTAAATATATTAAACTACCGAGATATGGTATTGTCAAGTGGGCTAAACTTTTAAATACCCTGTACCCTCTTCTATAAAAAAGAAATGGGGGCACTCATCAGAATAAAACACTAACTCGTTCTTTCTCGGATTTAGGAGAATCTGGACATCAATTTTGTTATTCTAGCTCATATACTTTCTGAGATCCTAGCGTCCATGCAAACACACAGGAATATATATAATTTGGAGGTCTGCCACGTCTCTTTCTGTTAGTTACAATAATGAAAATCTTAGTCAACACATTATAAATAAGAATCAGATTTGGAAGACAGTATCGTAACTAGAAATATTGATATATATGATTTGGTTTCATCAATATCGGTTCTTATTAGTGATTAAATTTATTAGTTTGCTAAAGATATTATTAATGCTTCAGTAAACCAACGATGAAAACAAATTGTCAAATGAAAATAACTTCAATATTTGAGTGAATAATGTCGCTAAGTAATACGGGTCATGAATCCACACATCTGCTGCCATGAAGTGACAAAGAAATCTCAATTCTTTGAGATGCTAGTGTCGCAGTCTTCAAACTCTGTTTCCATTTAATATTAATCCAGTTGGTATTTTCCACAACTAATAAAACACACTTTATTTACTTCACTTTAAAGCTAAAGTTATTTATTTTTATTAGTTTTTATACCTATTTATATGAATATTTGTATATATATATATATATATTTATATAGATCTTATATAAACAGATTATATGCGTGTTTCAATATCGAAAAGATCAGCTATTATATTATTCCTCTTCATCGCTACTTATGCGCAAATTATATATTTTAAAACTCCAGTAATTTAAAATTTAACTTAAAGACTCAACAACGAAAAAATGAAATAACAGTCGTTTCGTAAATAGCCTTGCAACCAGCACAGATAATAAAAACAGAATGATTTAAAACCACGCCAATTGAGGTGTTCAGTTTAAAAATACAACTACTACTTAGTATAGTAAGTCTATGCGTCTATTCTTCTATATGCGTATTCAGATATCAATTGTGTTTATAGCTTAACGAATTTCGTAACAGATAACGAATCAAAAATGTGCTTAAATTCAAATATGGGCTTTTGGTATGCAAAACTATATGTAGACTTAAAAGAAAAATTCCACTAGTGCGAAGTTTTGAGGGCGTCGTTGTTGCATTGTCGTCAGGGCTTCTGACTGCGGTGCAATTCTCTATTTTGGAGGGGAGGCGGACGGACGGCGGTTTAAGTAACAACGGCCGAGCGCTTGTCACGATTCTTGCCACGCGATATTGAGCGTGCCTTGAAAGCGGCCGCATTCACCAAATGCTGTAATATACAGAATAGATACGTATATATAATTAGGTCCTTCATCTTGTTGCCATTTATAATCAAAACTTACGCGTTCCAGTTTGGTTGGCTTGAGTTTGGCGTTGCCATTGATGCCCGTGTTGGTCAGCTTGGCGCCCAATTGAAAGATATCGCGTATGAATTCATTATCCTGGAGCTGGGAAGTCATGCCGGGACCCATAACAGTACACAATGCCGAATACTGGTGATGTATGGACCAGGAATCCAATGTCAAGCACTCGGTGCCAAAGCGTATGTTGATCTCAGGCGAAATGTCCTCCTAAAAATGTTTAATGCACAACAGGATTAGCTTTCTCTTAATCTCCACACAGTCCACAATTAGTAAGTTTTCTGGGCATTGAATGGCGAGGCCAGCGGGTCAATGGAAAACTTTATATAAATTATGAATTATAATTATAAATTATTGTTCCGTTACGCAATTTGTTATTTGAAGTTACTTAGCCAATTAGAAAGCAAATCTTAACTGGTACAAGGTCCGTTATGAAATTTAGGACGAAAGTGGTTTAGAGGCTCTAGTATTTTGAAAATATTTATAAATGATTTTGATCTATTTCGTAGCTGTTTCGAGAGTGGTTTTCTATAAATATCAGCCGAGATGTATACATTTCTTAAAACTGATTCGAAATCATTCAATTTTGGTTCCCAACCTGTTTAGCAATGAGTCGAACATGGTACGAAATTAGATTTCAGCCCTGTTGGAATATGGTTCATAAAAAGCCAAAACACCTATATAGGACAATTATGTAAAGTTAAATATATATACGGTCCCAAATAGGTGTCGAACATTGCTCTGCGACGTGCAAATAGGCGGTAAGATAGCCCTCAATCCCATCTTATCTTTAAAACTATTTAGCACAAATCTATAACGAGTACCATAGGCTCTTTTAAAGATTAGTGTTATGTAAAGGAGGGCATTAATCGACCGCGTTTTGTTTTCTTTTATGAGAATGTACAGAATATTTTCTAAGATACTATATGAAGTAAGCAATGCCTTTATGCTCCCAGTTTAGCCACAAATTCTCATTCATTTGACTATCTTCCCCATTTCAGTACAGACTAAAATCTATGTAGAACGAAATTCTGGTAATTTTAATATAAGTGCTTAAAAGCTAAAAAAAAAACATATATTGCAAAATTAATAAATTTGCAAAAAAAAAATCTTTGGCAACACCTTTTTTTCCGTTCGACTACTCATCATGCTCACCTCCACCTATCAACATGATTACGTGGCCCCAAATGCGAGACGCTACGAATTTATGATCGGCAGTAAGGGCAAGGGTCCCAGGGACGCGATTGGGATTGTGGAGTGCCAGTGTGTGGACGAGACAAAGATCAGAACGCCCGAAATCAAGGACTGTGATAAGGGTGTTGAATGGACGGGGATTGCACCAATGGGCCGATTGGTCGACCCACGACTAATACCGGCGGAAATTCCGCCGGATCAAGCAGCGAAGATGGCGATAACGCCGGATTCAGACTGTTTTGCGCTGCAACCGAATCGTTTCCTCAAGATTTTGCGCACCGTCTACCCAGATCTGTACGAGCGCCTCAAAATCATGCCGAAGGAGGAGCTCGGACGTCGACTCGAGACCAATCGCATGTATACCACCTATCAGATCGACTTTTGCAACCTGAACGAGTATCCGGAAGGTATATACGAGAGCCTCAAGACCGAGGACGAGACATCCAAGATTAATTCGAGCAAACTGCTGACCAACAAGCCGCCCTGTGCCGAATTCCGTTCGAATGTGATGCAGGAACTGGAGCGCGACACTTCAGCCGGCTTCCAAGTCTCTATTGATGATTGCGAGAAGAAATACAAGCCCTTCAAGACGACCTTCGCGGACTCAACGCAGTTCGTCAACTCGGGCGACAATTCGCACTGGAACGTGTCGTCTAATACGTACCGGAAATCTCCGCAATTCACCGAATATATGGACTCGATCAGTCGCAATGGCTGCGTGATTATGCGCAACAGGCTGCACGATCACTCACGCTGCCTGCCCAACTATTGCCGACACGAGATTAAGTTTACGTGCAACGACATGAAACCCTAATCTAGATCGCCTCTGTCCACGTTAGTGGTGGTGGTAATCGCTACAAAATTTTGTCGTTTACCATGACTTTAGAGTAAAGATCATTAAATGTTCAATGTAAGCAAACATGTTGAGTATTTTTACGAACCTGGAGACATTTCAGCTAATAACATTGACGCGCGGTTAACATGAGTTTAAAGCGAAGAGCAGTAAATGTTAGGTGCTTATAAATGTCGAGTATTGATTGATTGGTGGGAGAGTTAGTGGGACAATTGCATTCTAAGCGCTGTTACATATGATAACATATAAACATAACATAACTAAATGTAAATGCTAGCTTAAGATCCTGGTAGTCATAGCTATTGAAACCCTGTTAGCTGTAAGTTTCTAACTTTAAGCTAGCATTAAATAAATAAATAAATAAAAAACTAATTCGACTGAAATATTTAATATGGGAAGGATTATTTTAAAGATGCATTGATTACTTTTAATAATTAAATTACACTTCATGGTGCTGAATATTTCCTCTAAATCGTCACACATTTGTTGTGCCGGAAAAAAACTGATATTTTCATTCGAAAGGTGTGAATTGAAACCAAATAACTTTTTGAAAATAGTTATTCAATAAAAGTCTAAATAGAAGCAATGGTAGCGAACGTAGACTTTTTATGATACTTGATAATCTAGTATTATTATTTGTTAATAATCGTGCATTCTTAGCACTTTTTCTTTGACAAATACAACTTTCCATACTTAAAGTTGGATGTGAGTGATATTTTCCCACACTATGTCTCTGATAGTCGATTCACTTACCTCTAGATAGCGCAGCACATCGCGGAATGTGGCACGTTGAGCTTTACGATCGCGTTTGGCGCGATATTTGTGGGAATCTGTGGCCAGTTGCTTGACGGCTTCGCACAGCTCGCCAATGTGTTCTTCAAGAAAATCCTCGTCATGTGCACGGCCAGATTCCAAAATTAGGGCAATGGTCTCACCAGCAGCCATGCGCACTTCCAAATGTGGGGATTGTAGAAGACCCAAGAATTTTTTGATAGAGCTACAATGTTTGAAAAAAATTAAAAAACATGTAAGTCAAGAACCTCGGAAAATAATTGAGATTTGCTTACGGAAACAGATGATCTCCAGTGGTCATGAGCGACACAAAGTCGCCGGAGGGTATGAGTGTCAAGAGCAGACCCCAGGCCGACAGAGCCTCCGCATGAAGAGTGCCAGCCTCTGATGTTACCGATACTGGGATTTTGTCATCGCCACGCAGGTAGCTGCCCGAAAAGACATTCTCAAAGAATTGCATCAATTGGACCAACTCGGCGACATCCTCGGATCCCAGAAAGTTTAGCAATCCCAGAGCAGTGCAGCATTTGGCACGTGCATCAAAAGTAACCGACTTGTCCTGTACAGTGGTCAACAAAAACTGATTCATGGCCTTGGAGATGCCCTCCTCGCCACCCAACTGCAAGACCAGCAATGGAGCCAAACGGGCGCCCCATACCTGCTCCTGACCCTTGCCGCGACGTACGCTCTTCTCCACGAAGTCCAGAAGCGTCATTTTCCGATCCTCAACAAAGTCGGGCATATAGCGATGCATGAGCAACTCACAGATCGCCTGAAGAGATTGCACACGAGTTTGGGCTGACTTCTCGGTGGATTGCTCCAATGCCTTCTCGAATTTCTCCTCGTAGCGCTCGTTGGCCAGCTCATCGGTTGTGGCCTCCGAAGAGGCATTTTCAGAAAAGTGAGAATATACGCTTACATTATCAAACGATTCGTCCTCAGAATTAGACTCGTTAGTGCGGCCTACAAATGAAGAAAGTGAGGAAATTAGTGGACATTCATTATGGATGCATTACTCTATGGTTAAAATCTCTCACTTAGTTGTAAAAAGCTCCTGCACAAGAAGGAGTAATAAGGGAGAGAGAACAACAATTTTGTGAGTGATCGACGAAATGGCTGGACGAATTACACTTTTTTCCTACTTAGTATACTCGTAGATGGGGGTTTTTTATTTTTAATTCTTCATTTAAGATCTGTCCTAAGAAGAATTTGTAAATTATATGGTCACCTTAAAATTTGTACAATCATGCGTTCAAGATGGGGCTTTGAATATTCGTTTTCACGCCACTGTGCGTTTGATATTTGCAATGCTTGGCACACTGTGGCAAGTGAGTCAGCTTTAAGTAGCACACGCCCCCACGAACTACCTCTGCGCTCATTAGAAATATTTTAGGCATGTATCTATAGTACATACGTACGTCATTTATGTATACTTATGTATCCGTACATGTGTGTATTTACGTGTAGCAGGTACGTAAAACACACAACAAAGAAATTGAAAATAAAGAGCCAATTGTACGACACACACCAATGACCTTCATACACAGAAGAGGTGGGCTAAATTTGAAATGTGCTCTGCAGCTCAGTTTAAAAAACACACGCACACATTTTGTGCAACAAGTTTGCCAATGCGCAAAAGAAAATCAACAACAATAACAACAATGAACCGAAACAACTGCACACTTTCATTTCTTATTTGTACATACTTTATTTTACTTGCCAGACTAGCCGACTGCCTGCCTGCCTGCTCAGAGTCTCGAGCTATTTGGGACAAGGTGATTTCCGCCTGGTGTTTGCCTTTCACAAAGCAACCAGAGGAACGACACGCCAATAGTATCAACAAGGGGGAGTTTTGTAACAACTGGTCTGCGCACAGCTGTTGGAAAATTGTTGCTGTTGAAGTTTTTCTTCGGCTTCTGAAAACGTTGCTACAAATTTATCTTGCATTGTAACGCTGATCATATACTTGTACATGTACATAGATATGTATGCATGTACATATATATTTATTACATGGAATCTATCTCGCATACCCGTGGATATAGGGTATTAACGGCGCAACAAGACGAAGGAAGAGGAGCTCTTCCGCATACATCAAAAAAAGATCACTCTACATGTGTCCACATGTATATGCATGAGTAAAACGCATTAATTTGTTTTATTTATAAAGCAGAATCGTCTGTCGCCAAGCTTTTGTGCTGTGCACATACACCTATTTATGTACATATGTATATATGTATGCATGGGTGTTTGTAGCTTGGCGTGATTTTGATAAGCTGGCATTGGAGTGTTTATTTTCTTTGAAATGGTATTTGTGTGTGCGCTGTTTTGTCATCAGCGAGCGGTGTTAAAGCTTTTCGCGTTGCCAGCACGGCAACAATAATTCATGATTGAGAAACAGGTTGAGACGAAAGCTTTGAAACAAAAACAACAGTCAAAACCAATTGTTGTTTAAAAAAAAGTACACACACAAAAGTTAAAAGTATGACTAACTGCGTAGAAAAAGAAATACCACATTTGGGAAACGCATCTTTCCCACATAATGTGCTTGACGTTGTCAACCATTCGTGGGGAACAAAAATAGCTGAACACCCATCCACCCACACGCGGACAGCTGTTTTTCTTTCATTTTCTTTTCAAGAGTGTGACTCACCTTTGCCTCCTTTCTTGTTACGACGCGGCATGATTCTGCTTTTTTCGCTTTTACGTTGTTTTAACACACAATTAATTTTGATCGTCGCTATTGATGATGAGAAAAACGAAGACGTTTTGGGGTTGTTGAGCTGGGTTTTTCTTTGTGAAGCTTGCTTTGTTTCAAAAAGAGACGCGCGCCTTGTAGCACAGTGTCCTTTGCAAAGATGAGACTCTACACGAAAAAGTCTACACGACACGCGATTTGATTTGGCGGCAACGGCAACTGAAGGCGGCGGCAGTTCACGCACGTGTTTGCGCTTATTTTCTTATTTTTTATTGATTTTCCTTTAGGGCCGTTCACAACGAATTTAGGTTAGAATTTAGGTTTTAAATGTGTTTAAGGTTGGATTGGGGCAACGCACATAATCAGGAGGCAGCTATACAAAAGCTTTGATGTTTCCAATTTTTATAAACTTTACACAATTGTCTTTGCTGCTGCTTAGAGTTGCACAATACGCGTTTCGAAATGTTAAATGCCAATACACTACTGAAAGTTGTTGGATTGCCCGCGCGAGTTTTATTTATATAATGCTCGATACAAAAATGCTGCGCTTTTGGTGTTGCCACAAATTTCATGTTTAATCGCAATGAATTTCGTCCGATTACCACTGCACTTGTTGTCCCAAAAAGTTCAACTGAATTGCAATTTCAATTGCACAACTAACTAGCCTTACGTTCACGGTGCTCTTTGGCCTTGAGACTGAGACTGCGACGTCGTTGTCGTGGTCAGAGGCGCCGTTGTGAAATTATCAGCGCAGCTGGTTTCTGTACTACTACTTCGCTCTTAACTTTTACTGTTGAAATATAGCTTTCGCAAAGCTTTGGGACGTCCCGCTCAAAAATAATGCAAATAATTAAGCACTTTGATTACGGATGTAAATGAAATTAAACATGACACATGGAATTTTATAGAAGCTGTTGTCTCCACACACTCGCAATGAATAAGCAATCGATAGTGCACAGACCTGGCTCACCAAGTGCCGAACTAGTTCCAATGACCGAATCTTCAAAATGAACTACTGAACTAGCGGGTCTCTTTTGTCCCTTATGCATAGTTTAAGTTGACAAAGGTCATTAACGTCAATTCAAAATGGTTTGTTTCAGAGGAATTATTTTTATGTCAGAAAAAGTAAACTATTCCGCTTTTTTTCAACAAGAAAATGTAAACATCTTTTATTGTAATTAAAATTTTTAAATCGCTAAAACAAAGAAAGAAGCTTCAATCAATTAACTGAGCGACATAAATGACCTATTTAACGAAACAAAGAATCGAATTAAGGGAAGGGAACTGCGGAACCAGACTAGCTCAAATGGGAATTTATATCTGTAGTTGGCAGCGCTATGCATGACCGCTGCCTGGCTGACAAATAAAGTCTCTAGCGCCGTCACTGTCAAATTCACACTCATACACACGCACACACTGAGAGACAAAGTCCACAGGTTTTGTTTAGTTTAACATTTTTATTGCAAAACTGTAAGCTTAAGGCGAAAACAGTGAAAGACGAGCATTTGGCGCTACGAAGACTATCGTTGGAGTTTTTTGTGAGTGCGCCAAAGCTGGTAAATCGTTATAGAGGAGGGCCTGCATTGAACTCGCTTCCCTTTATAGCCGACGTTGCAACTCCCCCAACCCCGTTAACGTTTAGCCCAACAACAAATAAGCACAGCCAATCAATAAACAACAAACCAGACGCTGCCTAACAAGAAAAACGAAACGCAGAAATAACAGGCCAATTAGAAATCTTTCACAATATAATTAGGTAATTTATAGGCAGCTTGCGCAAAACTTTGCAATTATAATTCACCTGCAGTTGGCATTTGGGTGCTCTCATCAGCCAAGTTACGCTCTCGCTGGCTCTCTCATCGATCGATGGGTGAGCTCAGAGGGGATTTTGATTATCGCTGAACCTTAGTCGCTTTATCTACAAACATGTTATATGGCGCTGATTAAAGTACAATTAAGTAAATTCGAATGCATTTCAGGTACTCGCACTATATTTTGAAGAGAGATGGCAAGCATAGAGGAACGATTTCAGGCCGCAGTGAATGTGATCAAAGGACTACCTAAGAATGGTCCCTACCAGCCGAGCACAAGCATGATGCTCAAGTTTTATGGACTGTTCAAGCAGGCAACGGAGGGGGCGTGCACACAAAAGAAGCCCGGCTTCTGGGATGTGGTGGGCAAGGCCAAGTGGGATGCTTGGAATGACAATCGCCATTTGAGCAAAGAGCAGGCGATGCAACGTTATGTGCAGAGCTTGCAGGAAATTATTGAGACAATGTCGTTCACGGAAAATGTTCAAAACTTTGTGGGCAGTCTGGATGGGCTGACAAACATAAATTTGGATGAACTGGATTTGGTTTCGCCTGGTATGCGCGAGTTGGCCGAATCCCATCCGAACTCGCCTTTCCATTCGCGCACCAATAGTCCACAGCACGGCGCCAGCGCCAATAGCACGCCCAATGGCCCCGAATCGGCAGCCACATCGACGGAGTCTGCATCTGAGATTACAGCAACAACAAATGGACATTTGACCAATGGCTACAAATCGTCCGGCTATGCCACCGAGACGAGCAACAGTAGCAATATGACCAACAACAACAGCAACAACTACACAAACAACAGCAGCGTGGCCATCGTAGAGCCCTCGGACGATGAATATGATGATCCCTACGATATGGGTCATGAGGTAACTTTGGCAATTTCGCGCAACACAGAGCTTCTGCGTCAAATCCAAAACGCCGTGCAGTGCATGAATACGGACATGAGTGCCGTGCAGCAGCGTGTGGTGGCTGTAGAGCAATCCCTCCTGGAGCTGCGTCAACTACAATCTCGCAAAAATGCAACTTCTACGGGTGTGGATCGTCGACAGCCTGCCTGGTGGCCCTTTCGCGATATATCGCCGCTCTGGTTCGCGCTGCTGGTGCTTTGGCCTTTTCTGGTGCGACGTTTCGGCCGGCTGCTCAATTCTACGACGCGCAGACGCTGACTCGTAGACCTGTAGTTTAGCTTTATGGCTTGGGTAGTTAATTGTAAGTTTCCCATTACTCTTCATATATACATACTATATTTGGTTATCAATTAATATTGTGGTTATTTGCAGTTATACTTCGATGCTTTGGTTTTGGGCACGAGCCTTCGGCATGGCTTGCTTTTTAGCTTTAATTTCAAACGCGCGCTCGAATTCGTCTCAGTGTTTATTTTCATGTACAGCGTTGATCCTAATTTTTTGTACGATATATACGATAGATCTATGCGGTTGAAAGTTGCAATATGTACCTATTATTATTATTTATTTAACCACATACACTGTGGCACATTCCCATCTAATTAGTTCATAAGCCAAATGTTTGAAAGCAGCACGTTAACATTTCGCTTTTGTATAGAAAGTAATTGCTCGTTTATTTGTGTGTAGCAAACGATTGTGCAGATATTATTATAGTAATAATTTTTGTTGTAAATCACGATTTTTGTAATAAAATGTCATGTACGAAAAAAAAGAGGTTACATCACGTTTTAAGGCTGCGGCGTGGTGCGCAAATATCCTTTGCCACTGGGCACAGCAATGGTCTCGACGCCAGCCGGGAATAGTTTGGGCACATCGCCAGCGGATACGGTGGGCAGCACCATGCAGGTTCCTCCTGGCTTCCAGTTCGCAGGCGTAGCCACTTTCTTATTCTCGGTCAACTGCAGCGAATCGATGACGCGCAAAATTTCACTGGAAATTAAACAGAGCTAATGAAAAATGAGTTTTTAATTACTGGATTTCAGGGCTTACTCGAAGTTGCGTCCCGTGGTAGCTGGATAGAGTATGGAAAGGCGCAGCTTTTTCTTGTTGTCGATGACGAAGACAGCGCGGCATGTAAGTGGTATGCCAGCTGCATTAAGCTCGTCCTTGTCCAGCATGTTCAGCTTCAGGGCCAGCTCACGTTTGTCGTCCGCAATAATTGGATAATCAAAACTTTGTAGCTCTGCGCAATGTCAAGGATAATTGTAAATTAAAGCTTCTTTTGAAAACTCCCATTACTTACTGCCATAGCTCTTGATGTCCTCGATCCAGCCCTTGTGGGACTCAACGCTGTCACAGGACAATGCGATTGGCTTTACGCCGCGCTTCACAAATTCAGGCACCAAGCTGCCCACGCGCGCCAATTCTGTGGTGCAAACAGGTGTGAAATCAGCCGGGTGCGAGAAAAGTATGGCCCAGCTATCGGACATCCAGTCGTACAAGTCGATTTTGCCCACACTGGTGAGTGCTTCGAAGTTGGGGAATTGATCGCCAATGTTCAGCGCCTTGCCCGACATAATTACAAATTGGAATGAAGTCGAAGCGAGTCTGACAAGCAAACTAAAGCTCTGCTGATATCAATTAGGGATGAAAGAAACTAACGATACATCGGCCAGTGATGATTTTTTGTGTGTGCGATATATCGTCGACTTATCGATGCTTGCTTAAGTAAAACGTTTTATCCAACAAAATATATATAGAATCATCAGATATAGCTGTAAGTATTACCAATCAGCCGTCTCTTAAAAATTAGATACATAAACTTAATCACATTGCGAAAGACATATTTCAATATACATAAATAAAATCCTTAAACTGCACAAAAGTATTCGAAAACTTTAAAAAATATACTGGTATCGAGTAACTAGTAGTTCTAAATTACAAGCATATATGTATGTACATATGCTCGAAAGCGGTGACTTACACAAGCACCGACGCAGTTGTGAAATATAATCAAAATGGCTCAGTTGAGCAATTCTTTTGTGATGAATACGAAATTGACTTCTCGATGGAATCCCATCCCATTTCCATTTTTCAAAACAAAGGCAATTGGATACTACAGCATCAGTGGAGGAGTGGACCGTAAATTTTATGACGACGCAAGATACTTGACTTATTATTCGAAGAAACCAGCTCCGCCGCTTGATCTCAATGCTGGCATTGAACAGGTCGTTCGTCATGGCAATGATCCCGATCATTATCCCTTATACATGGTCTGCCAGTACATCAGTAACCACCGGGAGTTGCTGCGCGCTACCGATTCGGGAGAATTGATCCTGGACGCGGATTTTGTAACACGACGTGGCATCTTGTCCATCATTATGTGCACTCCTTATATACACGCGAGTAACTATCGTTTCATGGCATCATACTTAAACGGCACCACTTACATTTCTGCCGTTTCAATGAAGGAGACTTTGTCCAAGACAGCCTTAGATCGGTGCTCTTGGGGATTTAAGTTCGAACAGTATTGCACTTCATGTGAGCTCCATATTGAAAAATTTAGTGTTCTATTCCTATTTCCATGTTATTTCGATTCAGATGATCCCAACGTTGAGCCCGATACGAGCATGCCTGTGATTGAGGATGAGGATTTTAATTGCATCTTTCGCGCGCAGTTGGGGGAGCTGCGTCTTATGTTTGCTGCTGAAATGGACGGCTTAAGAAGTAATAAGAAGGTGTAAGCATAGCTTTATGGCTAACTACTATACAGGCCTCAATATCTTTTACAATTATTCAGGGATCTACGTATACCAGAGGTTTTGGACTCTACTGATTTTGTAGAGATGAAAACGGGCATATACGAGAAAACCCCTCGGCAGCGGCAAGCATTCGAGAGCTACACATCACTTAAATGGTGGTCCCAGTCCTTTCTTTCAGGTGGAAAAACCATTGTTGAGGGTTTGCGTGATGCCAATGGGATTGTACGCAAAATCAACGAACATGAAGTTGCCGAAATTCCTAAAAACAAGCCATGGAAACGGAACCTATCTGCTGTGTTCCTAAAACACTTTTTGGAAGAGGTGAAGCAGATTTTGAAGGGCATCGACGATCCCTACGCTGTGGTTCAGTTCGACTTCGAGCCGATGGAAGGTCTCTTTATATACCATAAATTACAGGGACCCAATGTACAACAAATTATACCGGATTTTTATCGTCAGATGATGCGAGGAACAGCCAATTCTACACAAATTTGATACTACAGTAAACCGCCAAGCGTTGGAATTTAATTTTTAATGTTACATACATATTTGAAAACGTCTAATTAAGTTGCAAATATAATTTCGCAAATCAGCCATGAAAGGTCACGTAGAATAAATATCATGGTATAATTCCATTTAGTTATAAACGCTCGTTCAGCATTGCTTTTAGTGAAACGACGCATTTGAAGCAACTTGTGGGTGTAACCAACGGAGAAAGTGGTGTGTGGTCGCTTCCTTTATAGATTTGCGAGTTGCATCGAAAATTTGTTTCGAACTGTGTTGGGGCTTCGGTTGGTGATAAGGCTGGCTGGCTATGCGCTGGCAATGTTATCTATACTATAATACTTGCTAAAAATGCGTGAAAAATGATGAGTCATAATTTTTAAGAGTTATATTGCAAGTAATATTTGTATTTCCATTTAGTTCAGAATTTCTTTTGGTCGGAAGACTGCGTCGACACTTAAAGTGTAAACCTGGAAATGCATTTCCATTTCGAGTGGAGGCTGATATGCCTGCCAAATAAGGTAAATGGGAATGTAATAAATAAAAAGCTCCAACGATATTCTTATTAAAGCGTAATTTATTTGTGGTTTTTAGCGATATAATGATTTAAAGGGGAAGAAGATAACTGATTCTTGTGTTCTTTTGTTATATGTACTTCCTTTCAGTGAATCGATTGTAGATATGTGCGTTATTCCATCTAAAGAACACGATAGTTATTTGCAATTACAATTTAAATAACATTCAATAGTACTTAATTGATAATATCATTGAGAACATAATCAATTAAGTGATTACAAACGGGGCTCCACTCGAGAAATGTTGTTAAATTAATAAAAAAGGAGAGCATATACCAACTTTTGAAACAAAATAAATTATGTTTACAAATTTAGCTATTGGTATTAAAACTACTCCTGATGATCTGTTTTTATACCCTTTCAATGGCTATATTTAATTTGAAATAAATTTGCAACTCCCAGAATACGTACTTATGTACAAACATGTACATATGTATGTATGTATGTATTCTAGTGATAATTGGGCAGTATGACGGTTGATTTGAGTCTCTACGGTCTCCAGATTTAGATCAGGGTGCAGTGTAGACGCCTGGACGTACCAGTCGCACGCAGTAATAGTCGGTAGGGCCTTATTCTGGAACGATGGACTCGTCTGTGGTTCGACGCTGCAGCCAATCCCTAAATCGAACTCCCACTTGTAGACGGTCCTTTTACATCTTAGTGGCAGTTTGGTGTTCCCAGCAAAATGAGCCGGTTCAGTGTGGCCGGCTTCCCCACCTGCAGGTTGCAACGATATGTGGTTTAAATTAAAACTGTGGTTTAACAGAATGCCGAAGTATTTGACATCCTGCGCTTGCTGCAGTCCTTCTTCCTTCAGCCAAACCGCAGGGACGTTGTCTCTCCTCATGGTAAAATACACACAACTAATATTCCACCTGCCAGCCCAGCTCTCAAGAAGGTGGAGATATTGCTGCAGCCCATCTGCTGCCACATAAAGGCAGAACGAAGAGAAAAAGTCCTACTTTTGGTGTAAGGCCAGGAGAGATTTTCTCTCAGTTGAGAAGTGGGCCTAGGACACAACCCTGAGACACATCATAATAGTTTTTGTCGTCGTATGCTTTAATATGGATAGATAACGCCAATTTCAGACATTTGTAGCCAAACCAACTGCGGCTCTTAGATTTCAAGAAAAGATTAGCCATATACAAATATGTGTAGTTCCCCTCTTTTATATTAGCTGCGCTTGATATACATACTTCAAAGTATCGATGCTTTCAATTTTAACTGTAACTTCATGGTATTTTGTGATTTACCAACACTCGTGGCTAGTACTGGATATCGTAAGCAATCGCCTGCAGCCAGCATCAAAACACAAGTACGTAACAATTGTTTCAGTCTATTTTTACTGTAATATTCGTTTTCAGGATGGTCGATAGCAGCGATCAGAGCGCTACTGCTTACGAAACGGCTCCGCCCGTAAGTGCCACAAATCCCTTTCGCATAACGACCAATGCACCACATTTGATGAACGACGCAAATATCACGCCAGGACGTCGAATGTTGCAAAAACTATTGGGCCGTGTGCTGCGCATTGTGATTACCGATGGACGTGTGCTCGTTGGCTACTTCAATTGCACCGACAGAGATTGTAATATTGTGCTTTCCATGTGTGCCGAATATCTGGTGGAGGGTCAGGACCCGCGCATTTTGGGTAATGTAATGGTGCCAGGCAAGCATATCGTGTCGCTGTCGGTAGACATGCCATCGGAGGAACTAAAGCTGGAGACGTTGGTGCAATAAGACCGCAGTTTCGGTTGATTTGATATAAATTTAATAAATGTAAACAAAACATTTTGTTCTCCATCATTTGTCTGTATCGTCGCCAATTGGGGGCGTTGGTATACCAAGCAGTGTTGGAGAATGCTTTGTCGTTTTGTGCGTATACTTTGTGATGAAGATATTTTCGGAATTATGTATCAATGGGAGATTTTATTGGTTTTTCTTTGACGCGGCTCGAGAAACCGTTTTCCATTAATTCTTCCGAAACGAAACAGCTGATCACCGGAGCTTCTTAAAAATATTGCCAGCTGGCAACGCCAATGCGCGTTTTCGTCAGCTGGTCGCTCGTGTTGTTCTACACGCTGCGGGCCAATTATTAGTTAAACCATTTCAATTAAGCACAATCAGCCATGGATTTCACGACCTTTGTCAAGCCCAATGGCAACGGCAGCGAACTGGACAATGGCGCCGGCGGCGATGCGAGCAGTCAAGAGCTACAGTTTTGGAAGCATGTTGCTTACATTGAGAACCATGGCAAGCAGGAGGATGACTACGAATATTGTATGACGGAGTTTTTGCGCATGTCGGGCATCTATTGGGGCGTCACCGCGCTGGACATAATGGGCCAGCTAGATCGTTTGGAGCGCAAGTACATTATTGAGTTTGTGAAGCGATGCCAGTGCCCAACGACAGGTGGGTTTGCGCCCTGTGAGGGCCACGATCCGCACATGCTCTACACCCTGTCTGCTGTGCAGATACTCTGTACGTATGACGCGCTGGATGAGATCGATTGCGAGGCGGTGGTGCGCTTCATTGTGGGTCTGCAGCAGCCGGACGGCAGCTTTTTTGGCGACAAGTGGGGCGAGGTGGACACGCGCTTCTCTTTCTGCGCTGTGGCCACCCTCTCGCTGCTGAAGCGCATGGAGCAGACCATAGATGTGGAGAAGGCTGTTAAGTTTGTCATGTCCTGCTGCAATCAAACAGACGGCGGTTTCGGTTCGAAACCAGGTGCTGAATCACATGCGGGTGAGTCATTGGAATTACACCTCAAAACTTTATAATAGCATCATAATTGCTTTGCAGGTCTTATTTTCTGCTGCGTTGGCTTTCTCTCGATGACGCATCGGCTGCATCTTCTGGATGTGGATAAGCTGGGCTGGTGGCTGTGCGAGCGCCAACTGCCCTCGGGCGGCCTTAACGGGCGTCCCGAAAAGTTACCCGATGTCTGCTACTCTTGGTGGGTACTCTCCTCGCTAACCATTATGGGTCGCTTGCATTGGATTAGCTCCGAGAAGCTGCAGCAGTTCATTCTGTCGTGCCAGGACACCGAGACAGGTGGCTTTTCAGATCGCACGGGCAACATGCCAGATATATTCCATACCCACTTCGGCATTGGCGGCCTCTCGTTGCTAGGACACGCGCGCTTGAAGCCCATCAATCCAACGCTTTGCATGCCGCAGCACGTCATTGATCGCCTCGGCCTTCAGCCGCAAATACTGGAGCGACCCTGAGACGAGAATTGAGCGGTAGTTGCAAATACTCGAAAGCTGTAGCCAATTTTGTATTTACACTCTGTATTTTATAGCCGAATGAATGTATTTCCAGACCTCTAGTTTTAGTCCACTCCCACACATCGACGGACCCAAGCATCGAGCAGCCGGAAGAAATTTTTGTAGATTTGCTTTGTTTCTTGTGCTAAGCCCAAAGTTTCCATTTCTTATAGATTTGTTTATGCTCTGTCTGCATTTATAATCTATATTATGATACATTACTATTATGATTACCTCGTTAAAACATTGATAAGCATAACGTGTATAATTTTGATATATAAATATAAACAAAGACATTATTTTATTATCGCTGTCAAAAAACAAATTTGTCTCCTTTTTTATGCAGTGGAGTGACTAAACTTTTTCTTGATAATGTTTATTTAAATATGCAAAAATAATTAAACTAGTATTTGCATTAAAAACAATTTTATGTTACATATTAAGACAAATATGCATAATCTGAACAATTTCTCGATTTATGTATCATTTCCCATACATATCAATCATAGTTATTATTTACAAAGGAAAGAAGTGTGTGTAAAACTAATTTAAGGACGCGACACAATTACAAAAAAACAAAACAATAGCATCACACATTATTGGAATTACGTACTATACCTCACTAAATAGGTCACCATAAATACATTTATACATAGTACATACATATAGGAATTAAAGGGTGCTTGGGCAATTAAAGACAATTGAAAAGAATTTATAGCGCAGAACTATTAAATTGGCTAAGGCTACAATTCAATTGTGTGAATGTGTCTGTGTCTGTGTGTATGTCTATGTCTTTGTTATATACTCGATGCAAGTCTAAGGCACTCTAAACCATTTCAGCTAATTGGCCGCTACACTCTACTGGAGGAGACACTATGAATTATTGAACTTCTCGTCGCTGGTCAGCACATTGTAGGCGCAGCCTAGGGCCCATGAGATTTCATGGCCATCAATTTTCTTGTAGAGCTGCAATAAAGAAAAGGAAATCAATTATAATACATTTATAGCAATTTGCAAACAATTCGAACAGGGTGCTTTACTCCCTGGTCAGCGTGCCAAACAATTACCACACACCTTTTTGTTATTTTAATTAAAACCAATAAGAATCCAATACCAAAACAAAGTCTCCAAAGCTTAATTGAATATTAATAAAAAGATGTGTGTAAATTATTTGCTTGTCTGACAATCGTTTACAACTTTTTCTGCCATGTATATTGTTTAATAGAAATGTGATATGTATTGTTAAAAAGCCAAACTATGGAGCGCCCTTCTTATTATAATATGTATTATATATGATGATATTCTTTCTTAAACTCTGTATCATAAAATAGGCTTTCGTAATAGACGGCAACGAAAAAATACCGCTTCTAAATTTTAAATTTACAAGAATAGTATTTAAGTTTACAAATAATTATATGAAAGTCAATATGCAACTGTATATTAAAGATTGTTGAACCCGCTTGTACAATTGCTACACATAGTCAATTGGATTAAATATAATATAATACAAATTTCGATTTGATAGTGTTTAAAAAAAATTGCTTTAACACCCTTTTTAAGAACTAAGTAATGTTCATACATTCTACAAGGCAATCCACTTCTCTCCAGGACTTATGAAAATAAGAAATGAATGTTAGTATATAAGGCTTGAATTATGAAAAAGTAAATGTAGGGTAATTTTTGAAATTAGCAAATGAAGGTGGTGTTTTCTTTTTGTTTTCGTTTTCCTTCATATAGGCAAATATAAATCCCTTTTTCCACCTAGAATTCTTCTTGCAACCTGTTTAGTCAATAACAAATCGATTAGTGAATTCAATGTATTCTGAAATAATATCAATTATTTGTCCATACCAGGGAGAGTTTCAAAATAATATCTGCTATCAATAAAATAAGTACTTTTCTTCTGAAGAACAATATTATTAGATATTCTACTTGACCAAGCTCCAACAAAAAAGTTTGTTTTTCAAAAATGTTGCCCTATACATATCCATATATCCTACAGGCCAGTTAATCTTTTGTTCACCAATTTCTTACCTTAATCTTCTTGCTGTCGTTCAAACCAAACCCTTCGCGCAGTAGCACCGATATAAATGTCAGATCGAAGCACATGAATGGCTGTTCATCGTTTGGTATAGCACAGATCTCCTGCGCTTTTTTGCGATAGCCCTCTACGGTGGTCTCACCGCCGGCCAATGGATCCACTAGGCCCGATCTAAGCGTTACACAAAATCATTATTTATGTTTTTGTTGCAGTTTAAAGCACGAAACTCACTCGATAGCGCGCTCGAAATAGTAGCTGAATGCTGCCACCGCGTGCTGTTTTAGCGTAAAAGGCTTGGGCTTCACCAGCGGCATAACCTTGCTCTTGATGAGCTCCAGACAGGCCTCGAAGTCGACCACAGGCTGCTCTGCGCTGGACTTGCTGTTATCCTTGCCACTGATTTTGTATTGCACATTGCTGTAGGTCCAGGTGCGATTCGCTATAATAGGGTTCACACAAATGCTCTCCACCACAGTGTCCTCGTTGCTGTAGCCTTTGGTGAAGACCGCGTGGCGAGCAGCCATCAGACCCAAGCCGAGATAGCTATGCGTAAACACATTGATCTTCTTTGAGGAAGTGACCACTTCATGCATGTACTTGTCGTACACGGGCACCTGATCTGGATCTGTAGGCGCAAAGGTGACTTGCGTGCTTCCACCGCCCAAATCCAAAGCAGCGGCCTGATTCGTTTTGGACAAACGGCCGAGCAAAAAGTTGACAGTAAACCACGAAAATATGCCCTCGTCAGTGCCATCCATTATTTCGACAGCGTCGATGTCAACACTGAACTCGGATTTGGCAAACAGATCTCTGACAGCGTTGAGCAGATTCTCAGCCTTGCTTTGTGGTAGCAAGCGTAGCCCAGCTGTCGCCTTCAGGACCAATGGCGTAGAGGACCAATGCTCTTTGGGTATGAAGGCGCGAGCCTCGTCCAACAGCAGCTTAATGGAATGCGCGCCATCTGCTGGATTGTCTGCAAAAGAGGACAGACCGGGTTTGCGCTCCTTGAAGAGCTCCTCATAGAGCACCAGTTTGTTGTCTATAAATGATTAATGTTGTCGGTTTAGTGATTAATATATCAGGACTCAATTAAATATGAAAACTACGCACCTATGAAGCTGCGATTGAACTTATAGGCCAGTACGCGACTGCCTGTAGAGCCCGCGTCAATGATGACAGCAAATTGAACTTTGCTGTAGCCCAGCTTGGAGGCCAGGCGCACCAAATACGGATTTGTGTTGTCCGATATGAAGCCTGTGCGTGGAGCACGAGTGGTGGAGTGTGTGTGATCGACAACATGTTCGTGATGATTCCGTAAAATGTGGCCATGTATGTCACGATGTGGTTGCAGATGCAGCAGATGTGGATGACGCACATTTGATTCATGGTTTGGAATAGTAGGGGTGGTCGTGGCGTGTGGCAATCCATTGTGTGGGTGCGGTTTTGGGTGTTGTTCGTGTTCACGAAAGGGCGCCGTAACAGTTGGAAAATCAGAGGGTTTGGTATTAGTTACCACGCGTTTATGAAATGGTTCTGTATTCATATAATACACATAATACACACCAAAAACAAACAGGAGCAGCAACACAGATACAGTCAAACACAAAAAGGACAATTTGAGACCGCTTGGAAGGCCGCGGCTGCTGTTGCCACTGCCGCTATTTTTGCGACGACCAGTCTGTGGGGGCTTGTCATCGCTGGCGAGCTGGAATAAAAAATACATAAACAAATGGCTTAGTTGTTATAATATTTTAACTTTAAATTTTATTTTTTTATAACTGTTTTTTATTAAAGAATGCCTACTAGCTGGTATTCGAATTTCATTGCGTTGGCGTCGGCCGGCGCTATATTGTAATTACATAACAATCATATTAATTGCTGGCGGACGGTTATAAATAGGGTTCGACTTCTGTTAAAACGGAAACACATGCTGGAAGTTTTCAAAACTGTTTGTTTTTTGCTCGCTTTTATTTTTTCCGTGATCTGTGTGGGTATGGAAATGTCAATGCACCAGAGCTGGAAGTGTCACCCCATCCGAATGTTCTAATTGTGTACACACTTGCCCACCATATGTTTTTTATTATGATTTTTCAGCTCATATCAAAATGGCTGCTGACCTTATTAACCCCTCTTGGTGGTGGGGCGCTTTTTCGAATTGAGATTGAATTTAAATAAAATGGTAATATTTTTAGAAAGTAAAACATGGACAACGTGAAAATAAAAATAAAATAATAATAATTACCAATGTTAAAATATTTTTAGATGATTTGGTGGTGTGTTTTATTTTAAAAAAAGTTAAAAATAGGTATTTATAACAAATTTTGAGTAGAAATGACTTATAGTTTAAATTAATGTCCTGGAGTTCCACAAACATTTTATAAAAATAGCACAAAAAAAGTATACATTGAATTTTGTTGTACTTAGGTGCTAAAAAGAAGGAAATCGTTGATATTTCCTTGATTTTTTATATATTTTAATGCTGATTTCCTTACCGAAAATGAACTAAATTCTTAATTCTTTCGAAAGTAATCCATATTTCGTAAACTCTTTCTACATGAGTCTATTAATCTAAATTCTGATTATGAAGCGAAAAATCTCTAATAAAATCTTTGAATCTGAGCACATAAGAGCAGAGTTTCAAAAGTATTGATATTTAATCTCTTATAATCGGTTATAGAATATATAAAAGTATTGATATTTAATCTCTTATAATCGGTTATAGAATATATTTAGACTATATTATTCCCATTTACACTTATTTCATGATATATAAAACCATATTGAAAAAACTGTGGTAGTAGTAATCAAAATAATAAACTTTGAACAAACAAGTCCCCTAGGCCTCATAGAGCTATTAAAATTGCTAGGCACGCTTTTTATGCATTATTAGAGGGCATAATAGAGAAAAGCACAGAGAGTAAAGTACGTTGCATTAATAGGTGAGCAACAGTTGGAATTAATTACAAAAAAAGCTGCACGTAGTATTTAAATAATCTTTACGTATAGTATTTTAAAAGTATGTCATTTCGATGCGCGATATAGGCTGGCGTTCTAATGTAACAAAAATAATTTAACTAATATTTTTGTTATTCAAAGTGATATTAATAAAAACGAGTTGAAAGACGGGGCGCAGTTTCGTCAAATTCAAAAAATATATGAAATGAATTTAGATTTGGCAAATCATTCTAAATTACACATTTTTGTCAGTGACAATATAATAAAATGAAGTTGTAGCCTTTCTGAGTTATGAAAACCATATTTTTTTTCCATATTTTTGTTTTAGTTTTTTTTTTTGGAGTCATTCATTGTTTGTTTGCAGCCAATCTAGATTGTGTTTATAAATAGACAGAGCAGACTCTTAGCTTGATTAAATATTGTTGAACAACAAACACACACACATTATTTAAACAAATGTTTCACCTTTTAAGTGGGTGATGTTGAAATACAAAAGAAAAGAAAAAAAGATAAGGACTGGCCGCCATCTGTGTTTATTAAACCAACTTGAGGCCTCAAAAATTTGTGTTGGCAGCAAGAAAATGTCTTTACTTAATTAAATAACACAGTCTAATGAATGATATACTATATGTATGCCTTAATGCATGAAAATGCGGAAAATGTGCGCTGATTTGAAATGCACAGGGAAACGAAGTCGGAAGGCGTTTAAAAATTTAATGTTCTTGGGAATGCAGACAAGTGTTGTTGTTCAGGAATCAATAAATCAATATATTAATATTATATGCGAACTTGTAATGCGTGGAAGTCGGAAAGTGGTAAAAATGCGATAACCCAACCAAATAGTGAGTAACAATGATAGCGCAGAAATTTTTAAATACGTATAAGTAGCCGGTTCGTTTGCTTATCGGCTAAACGTGTGTATTTGTGAACTGGCTATGGGCATGAATACAGCATTTATTTCATAAGTGGGTGCCTAGTAGACATCAGTTATGCTTAGTAACAATGAAGCCAGACCTTGAAATAAGCAGAATGGGCGATATAAAGCCGGTTTTTCCAAATGTAAAATAAATTGTATAACTCATAACAAACAAAAATAACAAATAAGAATTAGTTAATAAACTGTTTTAGTTTTCATGCATGCATTTTTAAAGAGAATAATTTTAAAATCGCATATTATATTATTATCATATTTTCCTGAACAATAACACTTGATTGCATTCCCAAGCACATTAAATTTTTAAAAGCCTTTGCAAATCGTATTAATGCCCATTTTAAATCAGTGCAAATTTTCTGCCATTCATGCATTAAGGCATATGTGCATTACATTTAGCACTTTTTTTTATAAAAAAAAAATAAATGAGTTTAATTTTAAGAACTAATTTTAATTAAGAACAAATAATTAAGGCATTCGAAGCAAGCAGCTCGCCGGCCAGAGTGTGCTGTAATTTATGTTGGGCACCCCAAATGAAAGAGCCAGTTAGGTCGCTCAAACAGGCCTAGGATTTGTGCAAATCTTGCATTTATTAAATACCTTCAGTAGCGGAAAACTATACCATTTAATCTTTAAAATAATTCATTTTTATTTCTAATCAATCTCTTTAATTCTTCAGTCCCACTCTTTTCCAATTAGCATTCACTGCGTAACAGGATGTTGAAAAGAATTGGGTGCCTCCGAACTGTTTCAAAGTTTTCAAGTTAGATCCAAGCCCTTATTTATATTTCACTTTTACCTCAGCTTGCCGTTTAAGACTTCGCCGTTCTTTAATCGCAATAAATATGAAATCACCTATTTTTATATGGCCAAAGGGACATTCTGGCCTTGAACACCCACAACACAAGGGTTAAGCCTATCACTTACTTGCAACCTGTTTCTTTCGCGTTGCATTTGAACAGCGCCCACACAATTTGTCAATCGTTACTAAACTGCTTACCAAAAAACAATTCCAATCGTTTAACGAGTCCCTTTCGTATGCCAACTTTAATGACCTTGCAATTGCAGAACTTAATTAAGACATGAGGAAATTAAAATGTTAATCAAAGTATAATACAGTGTGACCCCAAGCATCACGAAGCAACACGTTTTATCTGTTTTTTTTTAGATATTTAACTTGTGCACTTGCTAAAAATTTTGGCGCCGCCTAAGTTATGAATGACAAACTAGTTTGACAACACTTTTTGTTAGCTCCGTCTTTTTCGCTCCTACGGGACCAATGCAGCGACCGGCTGCACACAATACAATTGTTAACAGAACTAAGGCTCGTGAAATGCGTCAATTAAATAATTTAAATGAACTTGGCACAATATCGTCAACGGCGGTAATTTTGGCGTGTGTATGTATAACATTGTTTTAATTTCCGCGTCGACAGAGCAACAAGTATGTTTGTGTGTGAGGGAGAGGCGCGCCGAAATTAGCATAAAATAATTTCTATTCTATTTGATTACCCTTTGACCTTTGCTTACTTTTCTTTTGCGCACATCGGTGGACGTCATTTTGTTTATGTAGTTGTTACTTTGCACTTTATTACATAAAGTCTGTGTCTATAAACGTTTTAACTAATTGCACGCGTTAAGTTTTTTGCGTTCTTATTTGTGTTTGAGCACTTGTTATTTTTGTTTGCCTTGGGCTATTGATGATATAAAGCTATTTAACGACGCGGGCAGCGGCAACGCGTACCGAATGGCGTTTAAAATACGAATGAAATTACACCCGTGTTGGCTGCTTGAAGGTGGGCAATGAAACAGCTGTTTGGTATTAACCCTTATCAGCTCTAGGGAATTACTATCAAATGCGTTTCATTTCATCAGCCCAACCAATCATTCACCAGCCCAATTACGATTGAAAACAAAAAAAAAGGGTTCAATAATGTTCGCAATCAACAGACTTATGAAGTGGCGGTGTTTTAAAAAACAATTCTTAATTTTTGAACAGGTTGTTTTGCATTGGTGTGACCAATTGGTTTATAGTTTAGTATTTATCAGAACATATCGACTTATCGATAAGTCAACATTTCACTTTCGATATATTTCGTAAAGAATCGACAATCAATTTAACAGCAACAGCTCTAGTTGGCAGTCACAATTTAATACCAAAACAAACGCCGTACGGTACGGTCGCGCCGCGCGTCGCAAGTACTTCCGTTTTCTTGCGCAAAACTCAAGTGCACAAAAAGAAAAAACATAAAATATGTGATTACTGAAATATAAAAAGCTTATTTTGAATGCATAATAAAACAAATTGAAACCGCGTGCCGAAGTAAGAAATGCTGTTTGAGTTTTTCGTTGCAATATTTGCTGTCAACGGCCAACCGCTACGTGTATAGGCAGGCAATACTGCTTTGGCCATCTCGCTCGCACTGCAAAGGTCGTTCGTTGTTGAGTGTGTGTTCGTTTGTGCATGTGCGTAATGAAATAAAATGCAGGGAACGGGAACTAAATGGAAAATGTTTAAATTAAATTTTAGTTGTTCGTAAAAGAAAAACGCAAGTAGCACAATCAATTTTTCGCAGCGTTTAACAAAAAAGAAAAGGTAAATGTGTGCCGATGTGTGTGTGGCGAAGAGAGCCGCGCAATAAGATAAAATTGAAGGTTATTCTTTATGCGTGTGTGTGTGTTTTGTGTGCTCCAATCCAGCCGCAGCCATTGTAAACAAAAAAGCAAGTGTTAAGTGTGAGAGCGGGAGAGGGATACAGAGAGATGACGAGAGAGCAAGCGCACGCTCACTTACTCAAAGAAAGCAGCGCACAAAGCAAATGCTGAAAATGTCAATAAACTCTGCAAAGGTGAGGAAAACGCAACAAGAGTAGCCAAAGAAAGAAAGCAAGTGCAAAACAAGAATGGAATGGTAGAGTTGTGTGTGAGTACAACTCTTCAATACTCTGTACCCGCCCTTCTCCGTACAGTCATTTAACTTAAATACACTTCCTTACTGAAAAAAGTATGGGGTTCTAAGAGTGAAGTTTCGACCGATCGGTCCTATCGCAGCTATAGAACATATCGAGGCTTTGTATGATTTGTAATAAACATGCTCTGCGTATCGATAAGCCAAGCATTCTTCGAGTACGAGAGCAGCGTATAAAAAGAACAACCATGCACACACACGAACACACACAACCATGCATAAAGAAAGCGCCTGTACGTGTGATTCTACTTGGATGGTCGTGCAAAAAAATTCTGGTTTTTCTGCCTTGCGCTTTGCAGCTTCCGCGTTGCTATTGCAATTGCAACTTCAACAAGTTCTGTTTTTGCCGTTTTTTTAAGCATTTTGTTTATTTATTTTATTGTCAATTTGTGGCTGCTAGGCTCGTTAACTCACACACACACTCACATACACAGCCGGTCTATGAGTAATAAACCGTTATAAATTCACAGGTGAAACAAAAAGTCAAAGCTGCGGCCAATTTTGTGCAATACAAAATAACGGAGCTTAATGTGCAAAAAATGGTTTGCACGAAGAAATTATAATATTTTGACAAAAACAACATGCGTGTGCCTAAAAATGTGTGCAAATTAAAAAAAAAAAAAATTTCAATTGCTAATTTGTTGTAAAAAAGGAGAAATGTTTTATACAAAAATGTAGAAAAGTTGTAATTATTCTTAAGTAATTTGTATTAACAACAATTTAAACAACAACCAATTCATTTGGGCTAATCAATATCGAGATCATTAGAAACATTTAGGGAAAATCAACATCTAATTAGACTGAGCAAAGGACAATTGGATTATTAACAATAATTTTTGAATCGGTGAGTTGGAAATATAAGTAACAAATTTTATTTTTTTAATAATTTAATAATTAAAATTTTTTAAATGTTACAATAAAATAAATAATATGAAAGACCTGTTAAACATTTCTTTAATTATACTTAGTTCTTAGTTTGTTATTTTAAATAGTGTACAAAAAAGCGATTTTCAATTTTTCGATATTTGAAGTTTTTAATCAAGTGTTCAAAATCGATTATATCAATACAGCTCCGCTAAAAAAGATAGCACCACAACAAGGAGTATTACTGAAAAAATAAATAAATGAACAAAAATGTCACTCTTATTATTAAATATTTTAAGTGTATTTCTTCAGTGACATCGACAGCTTTTTTTGTCAATAAATTATATAAACTGTGTAGATTCCTAAGAAGTGAAGAGATGAAACTGCTAGTGCCAAACTAAATATCGATCAAAATATTAATACATCGTGGCATGTCCTTTGTTGGCAAAGGCATGGCGTCTACCAAGTACTTTCACTTTTCTTTGGGGATCCAGTCCCAGCACTTCTTAACTACAGTCCATTACTTATTGTTTTTGTTCGTAGTTCGATGACAAAAACTATTTTACGTCATCCAAAAAGAGTTCTACAAACCAGACTGAATCTGGAATCTTTTCAAACCATCCGGTTCTAATGTTTTCGGTCATTTGCTCTTCTGCACGCATTGTGAGAGTAAAAATTTGTCTCCCAAGGAGAGGTCTTCTGATAGTTACTTAAATTCGAATAAAGATCTTAAAATTTAAGAGAGAAACATTTCATTTAAAAGAGTTTATTCATTCACTTTTTTAATAACAGTGTTTTAACAAAAGTTATGTGGTTTTTCAAATATAAATTCTTTTTATAATTTGAGTGGATATTATTTGAGCTCCTTGTTGTGCAAAAAAATTAATTTGGCGCTTTGATAAAAATTCCATTTAGCTATCTTAAGTGGTTGGGAGCTTTGTTTGGCTATTGAAAATCATATAGCAGCGGGTTTCACTCAAGTGGTCGCCTCAAGGTGCAATTTTATGATAAGCATTTCGTTAAAATCCATCCAAGATAACTATTAATAATGGTATGATTAATTGTATACTATTTTAAGTGTTAGTTTCGATAGCTTGTCTCAGCATGTATCTGTTAATTTGCATCTGGAAAAATATTGAAACCTTTTTGAACTGAACAAGCGCAGCCAGCTCTTGTTGTTTTTGTATACACTGTACCCAAAAGATAAAAGGGCATACTGGGAATGCATGAATCACACAGAATGAGAAGTTGCAGACCCAAATTCTGGAGAAGTATGGGAAGATAAACGCACGGAGCTCGGAAAGTATGAGAGCTGGAAAAACCAATCTTCGTTTCATATTTCCAAGGGAGAATCTATATAATAAAATCGTACAAGTTCGAAACGAGCAGTCTAGTAGTTATGACAGACAATAATAATTAATAATCAGATATATTTATACCTAAGTGGCTCCGGTAGGGTGATTCATATGAGAAGCGCGGAGGAGGAATGTGCTTGTTAACTATATTTTTAAAAACTTTTTAGTTCAATGCTTCCCTCAAGTGACTCGTGTGAGTAGCGCAGAGCAGTGTTTTGGATTTAAGTTTTTAAAATCATTAATCAGTAATAATTGCTGCTTAAAATGGGACCTACAATGTGCAAAACTTTTAAAGTTCAGACATTATGGACAAACGAGCATTACATTGTTATTTATATAGAAGATTTGTATATATGTATATTATATGATCCGCCTGATGACTTAAGGTGTGCACCATAAATTGAAAAATGTAGAGGATTATTATTGAAGCCAATAACGGTTTATAACCTTCATTTCCTAGTGCTTGATTGTAAACTTCCATTATTTTTACAATAAACATTAGAGTTTGTAGTCTCAAAAGCTCAAATCTGTGTCAAGCAAGCCAAGTTATTGACTCATCAGCTCTTTCCCGATGGCATTCATTTTGCGCACTCCGTTTGATTAAAAGTAAAAAAGAGTAATGTCCACAGCCGATGTCTCCGCTCCACAAATCCGCCGCAATACCTTAACACACATTAACAACTATTTAATTAACGCCCAACCTCCTCGGGCAGTGAAATGTAATGGCGCTGTTGGTCGGTTGGTTGGTCACTTGAGCCACTTTCCATATGACAACCGACCGTGGTGGCTGACTCATGCAGCGGCGAAATGCAATTGCAGTAAGCGGCCCGAGGGCCACCGGAAATTGTTTCGAAAAACAAGCAGAAAAAATGAAGTCCGCTAAAGCAGAGCAAGCGGCGCATGTCTTTTAACGATGCGATGGTACGGGCACGTTTTGAACTCTACTCTACACACACATTTCTTTACATGACACTCGTTCCTCACCTTGCCCTCTCGCCGCATTCTCTAACCATCTCTTGTCTACTCACGCCTCGGCGGCTGCTGCTTTCGCGAGAAGCTTGACCCAGAAAATCAAATGATTGGCGGTCTGTTTGGGTTTTGGGGGCCCGTAGGTGTGCGCTGGCAATGGCAATGGCGGGATGGCGATGGCGATGACGATGATGCGCGCGTCTCATAAACCATTTTAAATGTTGCCTCATTATTATTTTGACTACGTTCGCTGGTTGCGGTTTTCGTGTTTATTGGCCGTTGCATTTTCGTACAACAACAACAGCTCCAAAAAAGTAAAAAAAAAAAAAAAAAACATTTTTTGATTTCTGTAACTGGGTTTATGAGCGGTCTTCGCTTTTATCGGCGTCTGTCTGAAGGTTGAAGCGTTTACCGACTGTGCTTTATTTTCCTTATTTAGTTGATTGGATCTGGCGGTTTTTTGCTCGAATGCTTGTTTATGTTCTTGAACTCTTTTTAAGTGCGAACCAAAAGCTTAATTTATAACTTTTAGTGTCATAACTCCCAGGCAGGTGAGTGACTTTTATAGCGATGGTTGGTGAGCTAATTTCTGCCTGACTGGAATGGTTTAAATATGGGCTGGATTGTGACGATTGCGAAACTCATTTGGCCTATTTTGACGAGTATTTGACCGGCTAGTCCTTCTGATTCTTGCAGTTTCTAAATCGTTTTACAAAATTGATTGTTTGTTTAAACCGATGTTAAAACGATGTTGATTTAATATTAGTCTTAGTAGATTTAGTCTATTTGCTGGCAAATAACTGAACAATCCGGCTGAATATATCAGATTTGCGATAGGTCTAGGAATTTTACGAATCTGTAAAGAAATTTGTTGCGATCTGGACTTTAGTATAATTTTTCAGTCTGGTTTTCTACACCTGAAGATTTTCGGCCAATATATTGTATTTGTGGTAAGACTGGGACAGTTCTGAAAAGTACAAGTTCAAAGATAAATTGATATCTTGCTGGTATTTTAAATATCAAGCATATCAATTCAAAGCCGGTTATTTATGGATATTTCCTATATTCCTATCAATGTCAAATATTTTATTTGTATTTAAACATATGTATTCTATGACAAGTTTTCTCTAAAAATATCGCATACTTATTAAAATGTAAGAATAGAAGAATCGATATTTAACAATATCGATAATCCCAATTACTTCAAGTCCTTAGTAATAAAATAATATGCTGATGATATACATACAGTACATACTGTCTAAAATATATGGAATTCTCATATATTCAAAAGTTATTACTATTTGAAAAACCGAAAATATTGACTTCGAACCATAAATATTTAAATAAACATATTTATGAATGAGGATTTTAAAGACTCTCCAAAACTTACTATTTGAAAAGCATATTAGTTTGAAGAGGGGTACGAATTTATTTATCTACATATATTTCTATACTATACAATACTATATTTCACATAGCATAGAATTCTTATTGGTTTTAATTAAAATAACATTAAATTCCGGATTTTCTTGTGAAATTCGACAAATTTGTGAGCAAAGCTTTTAATGTCCGATCTTAGCTTACGAAGCTTGTTAAATGTTGTTAACAGTATTGTAAAAACTGATATTCATAGCAGAATGTCTTTTCGTTTAATTATCGTTACCAGTGCTGCATAATTTCAATAGCCAGTTATGGGCAACTACAGTCGCGTTTACGCTTAAAGGTTCGACTGACAACCGGTTCTGAACATATCTTCGGGCGCCCACATACATGGTTACATGCTCTTCAGCAACAGCATCATCGTCGTCATCGTCGTTGTTGTTGTTGTTGTCGTCGACGACGCTAATTAGCAGTTAACAATTGCAACATTGACCTCCTCCCATAATTCTTCAGCTGTTGCTGCTGCTTTTGAATTTGTTGTGGCTGTTGTTGTTGCAGTCCGTCCAACAACAAGCATCTGAACAACCTTTCGCTTTGTTCTATTGTCTGAGGCGAGAGATCAAAAAGATACACAACATGGCAGCAGGTTTGCCTTGTTGTAACCTCAACGGAGAGGTTCTTATCGTTGTTGTTGCAGTTGGGCCAAAACTCTCGCGCAAACGCAACATTTTCAGCTGGCAACATTGTTGCTAAGATGTATTCGTGTTGCTGTTGCTGTCGCTGGCGTTGTGGCTGCTGCCATTTGACTTCTTGGCTACAACTGTTGTCGCTGTCTGTCGACTTTTTGGCCAGCTGAAGCCAGTTTTTATGCATTTGTGGTAGTGGTTGATGCCTTTTCGTTTGATTTTTTTGTAACTGCAACTTTGGGAATTGCCATAACTGTGCTAAGCGCACCAGAAGTTGCCGTTGCTCCTGTGTGTCTATGTGTCTATATAAACATGATAGTTTTGGCCAATTTTTGTGCTTGCTTGTGGATTTCGTTACGGCGACTTCTGTCGTTGATTTGGCAGTTTTGTTTTTGTTTTATTTATTTTTTCTCCTTTGCAGGCCAAACATGTTGGCCAAATGTTGTTGTTGCTCTTATTGCTGCTGCTGTTGGTAGCAGTTGTGTAACAATTGCAGCAATAAGTGTCTTTGAATTAAACCAAACTTGCGCAGTTAAGAAACCAGACAGACTAGAACAATAGTTATTGAGTATCTTATTATGTGAATTAAG